TTCCATTGTGATTATTTATTTATTTATTTATTTTTGAAATGGAGTCTCACTCTGTTGCTCAGGCTGGAGTCCAATGGCATGATCTTGGCTCACTGCAACCTCTGCCTTCCAGGTTCCAGTGATTCTCCTGCCTCAGCTTCCTGAGAAACTGGGATTACAGGCACGCACCACCATGCCCAACTAATTTTTATATTTTTGGTAGTGACGGGGTTTCACCATGTTGGCCAGGCTAGCCTCTTAGCTGCTAACCTCAGGTGATCTGCCCGCCACGGCCTCCCAAAGTGCTGCGATTACAGGCGTGAGCCACCGCGCTCCGCCCTGTGTGAATTTTAAAATGCTTTTTTCTTTATTAATATGGTGACTCACATTGATTGATTTTTAGATGTTAAACCATTACTGGAATAAACCTAAGTGATGATATGTCGTGCCTTTTACATATCTGGATTAAGTTTGTTAGCATTTTGCTTAGGACATACTGCAGCTGTGTTCATAAAAGATACTGGCTTGTAATTTTCCTTTCTTTTGAAATCCTTGTTAGGTTTCAGGGCCAAATTAGGTTAGCCTTATCAGATGGGCTGGGGAGGGTTTGCTTTTTTTCTGGCTCTGAGATTGTGTAACATTTGAAATGATTTATTTTTAGAATGTTTGGTAGAACTTCTTGATAAAGTCATTGGGACCTGAAGTTTTCTTTGTGAGAAGATGGATTTTCTATAAAATGTCGTTAATGGTTATAGGAGTGTTTAGGTTTTCAGATAATTCATTCATTAGTTTTGAATAAATTTCCTAAGACTTTTTACATAGTTAAATTTCAGGTTAATTATTATAAATTATTAATGATATTTTTAAGTATCTTAATTGCAGATATTTGTCTCATCTGCAGTTAATTTCCCTTTTTTTTCAAATATTGTTTATAAGTTTTAGCTCTTGCAAAATCTTGTTGGTAGTTTTTCACTTTTTTAATGTTTTTTCAAAGAATAATTTTGTTGACCTTAGATATATGCTTATTTTCAGTCTTTATTAATTTCTGCCCTTTATTATTTTCTTTTTTTCTTTTTTTTTTTTTTTTTTTTGAGACTGTTGCCCAGGCTGGAGTGCAGTGGCGCGATCTCAGCTCACTGCAAGCTCCGCCTCCCGGGTTGACGCCGTTCTCACGCCTCAGCCTCCGGAATAGCTGGGACTACAGGCGCCTGCCACCTCGCCCGGCTAGTTTTTTGTATTTTTAGTAGGAACGGGTTAGCCGGGATGGTCTTGATCTCCTGACCTCGTGATCCACCCGCCTCTGCCTTCCAAAGTGCTGGGATTACAGGCGTGAGCCACCGCTCCCGGCCTTATTATTTTCTTATTTTACCTTTCTTTGGATTTAATTTGCAGTTCTTTTTATAGCTTCTTTTTGTTGTTGTTGTTGTTTTTGTTTTGTTTTGTTTTTTGAGACTGAGTCTTGCTTTGTCGCCCAGGCTGGAGTGCAGTGGCACCATCTCAGCTCCCTGCAACCTCTGCCTGCCGCGTTCCAGCGATTCTCAAGCCTGGGCCTCCTGAGTAGCTGGGACTATCGGCACGTGCCACCACACCTGGCTAATTTTTGTATTTTTAGTAGAGACGGGGTTTCACCATGTTGGCCAGGCTGGTCTCCACCTCCTGACCTCAAGTGATTCACCTGCCTTGGCCTCTCAGAGTGCTAGGATTATAGGTGTGAGCCACCATGACCAGCGCCCTCAACCTTTTTTTTTTTGAGACAAGGTCTCACGCTGTTGCCCAGCCTGGAGTGCAGTGGTGTGATCACGGTTCACTGCAGCCTTGACCCCCCTGGCTCAAGCAATCTTCCCACCTCAGCCTCCTAAATAGCTGGGAATATGGAGGTGTGCCACCATGCCTGGCTGATTTTTGTATTTTTTGTAGAGATGGGGTTTTGCCATGTTGCTCAAGCTGGTTTTGAACTCCTCGGCTCACTGTGCCCAGCCTATAAGGAACTCTTATAGAGGTAGATTTTATTCATTATTAATTTGATAAGGTTTTAAATCTGGTGTAAGCTGGAACATTTAGTCTATTTTTATTCATTGTTATTACTAATCTAGTTGGATTATTTCTCCTGACTTACTTTTTTTTTGTGTGTTTGTTTTTCCTATCCTGGTTTTTCCTTTCCTTTGTTGCCACCTTTAGGGTTAAGTGATCATTTTTTCTCATTACATTATTCCTCTTTACCATTTGGAAATTATATACATGATTTGTTTTTTTAAAAGTTGTTACTCTAGAAATTGTAAAATGCAAGTGTAAAATTTATTAATGTCCAGATTCTACTCCTGACCATCACAAGGCTATTAGGACACTAATCCCAGTGATAGCTCACCTCCCATTTATGTTACTATTTTTGTGTATTTAGTTTTTTAAAAACCTCATTCTTTTTACTGTGGTATTAAAAACTTTTTTAAAAGATAGAAGCATTTCTTCTGATTTTTACTGTTTTATACAGTTAACTTGGATTTAACCACATATTTACCAACTTTTTTTGCTCTTGATTCTACCCTGCATTTTAGACCTTCCAGCATGTATCCCTTTCTTTCTTCCTGCCTGAACTATATGCTTTGGAATTTCCTTAGGGAGCATCTGCTGGTGACTTGCTCTTTCAGTTTTTCGTTGTTTGGAAATGTTTTTGTCTTACCCTCCGTCTTTAGCTGGTTGTAGAATTCTCTGTTGAGACACCCCTCCCGGCATAGAAGATGTGTTTCCACTGTGACCGGCTTCCATTGTTGCCATTGTGATAGCAGCCGGCCGTCTACTTGTTGCTCTTTAGAAGTCATCTTTTTCCTTGATTGCGTTTAATCTCTGGTATTATGTTCTTTTACTAGGATGTACCTAGGTGGATATTTTAGAGTTTATTCTGCTTGAGATTTGATGGGATCACGATGGCCGTGATTCAAATCATTTGTCCCCACTACCAAGCCTCAGTGATACCTCATCCCCTTTCATAGGATCCCTTCAGGAGACTGCTTTCTGGACTCTTTGCCTCCCATTTCTTTCCTCTACACCTCCATGATGCCAAAGGGGATAATCTTCCTAAAACACAGCTAGGCAAAGCTGTTTTCCTGCTTTGAGACCCTTAGTTTGTAGAGATCCTTTGTTTGCAGGATACAAGTCCATTTTTTTAGCCTGGCACATTCTATCCCTGTGCCCAGAGCAACCACTGGCAAATACAGGGGTGCCAAGTACATCGACATGGAATGGCCCTAGTGATAGGAAATAAAGTTGATGACTGGCTGGATTTGAGGTTTAGGGAGAGGAGGACCAGAGTTTGATGCGCAGGTGTGTGGTATGATTGTGTGGACTGCACCGTCCACACCAGATGATTTGCAAAGAAAAGGACTTAGGAGAGGAAAGGGGCTAAGGAGGTGGAAGGAGAGGATGAGTCTAATGTAGGCTTTGTTGAGGTGCAGATTTGGTGAGATGGAGGATGTTTTTCTAGCAGGCAGTTGAAGGAACTGGTTATGAGATGGTGCATTTTCCCAGCCCTGAGGTCCAGTTGAGGATACTGTTAAAGAACAGCACTGGCCAGGCCCTGTGGCTCATACCTGTCATCCCAGCCCTTTGAGAGGCTGAGGCAGGTGGATCGCCTGAGGTCAGGAGTTCGAGACCAGCCTGGCCAACATGGTGAAACTTGTCTCTACTAAAAATACGAAAATTAGCCAGGCACGGTGGTGGGCGCCTGTAGTGCCAGCTACTTGGGAGGCTGAGGCAGGAGAACCACTGGAACCCGGGAGGCAAAGGTTGTAGTGAGCCGAGATCATGCCACTGCACTCCAGCCTGGGCAACAGAGCGAGACTTCATCTCAGATTTAAAAAAAGAACAAAAGAACAAAAGAACAGTAATTAGCAGTTTTGTGTATCTCTTATGTGCCAGGTGCTTGGCAAGCCTTTGGTAGTTGTGATTCATTTAGGCTTCCTCTGCCTTTAAGATAGCTACTAGTTTCCCTGTTTTAGAGATGAAAAGACTGGGCCTTAGGGAGGCTGAGCATTGTTAGCTAAAAATGTTTGCGTGCTGTATTTGCCCAAGGCACCAGTGAACTTCTTGTCAGATCATGGTATCACCTAAAATGAATGTAAACACCTCAGGATTCCAGGACCCACTGCAGTCAGAGCATCCAGGAAAGGGTTTGGGAATCTGTATTGTTAATATACACATTAGGAAATTCTTAGGATCGGGCAGGTCTGGGACTTTCTGGTCTCAGTGCTTCCTGTTTAGTTCCAAATCCACATTCTTAGCCCCTGCAGTGCGTGCTCCATGGCGGTAGCCAGCGTTTTGATCAGGGCTTGTGGAAAACTTTTATTAGCTGTGATCTTTGTGGCTTGCGGAAAGAGCCCATTTTATTAGCAAGCAGGAGATTTAAAAAATAGCCTGAAGTCCTACCATGATAGTTGTTTTATTAGTGATTTGAGGAAACTTAACATTTATTAAGTGTTTATTAGCAGTTCTCTCAGTAGTGAATTTGATTATAATTTTATGGTGAAAAAACGGGTCCTCTGCTAAATTTCTCCAAGGCCATAGATCTGGTAAAAGGCTCAGCCAAGGGTTAGACCCAGAATTGCCTAATAGTAAAAATAGCTCACACTTATTTAGTGCTTACTATTTTATCAGGCTATTACATGTATTAACCCATCTAATCTTCATAGCAATTCTGCAGAGAACATTTCTATCATTATTCCCACTTTACAGATCAGAAACCGAAGCACCGTGGGGACTAATTTGCTCAATTTCACATGCCTAGTAAGTAAGTGGGAGAGCCAGGCCCTGAATCCCGGCATTCTAGCTGCAGAATCCACACCTCTTATCACTGCCCAGTCCTGATTTGCTGTGACTCGTGTTCTTCTTCTCACCTTTGTGGTAATCAGCATGAAGAATGACTTTAAAATGATAGCAAATTTATATTCGTTAATGTAAATTAGTACAAGACTCAGGACATTGCTTCCGATGTGCTTGGGGATGACTAGTGTGATTTACTTCCTTTTCAGTTTGTTCCCACATGCAGGGTAGCACAAGGAGAATGGGCGTCATGACAGATGTCCACCGGCGCTTCCTCCAGTTGCTGATGACCCATGGCGTGCTAGAGGAATGGGACGTGAAGCGCTTGCAGAGACACTGCTACAAGGTCCATGACCGTGAGTACCGTTTCCCTGTTCCCAGGGCGCTCTGGTGCTGTGTTGATCAGGGACCAGTGACATAGGTACAATACCATGTAACTTGTTAACCGGTACTCCTGAGCTGAGCATTCAAGCCCCTTCACAGTCTTACACAGGCCCATCTTCCATTTTTTTTTTTTTTCCGAAGTAAACCTGACATTTAGCTCTGTGGATAAAAACTTGGAGTCTAAAGCTGTATAGTTGTGGTTCACACCAAGCCTCCAGGACCTGCCCCAGTCTCAGTTTCTGTGTCTCTAAAGTGGGGATAGTAATTGTACTTAACACGTAAGTAAGTGCGTGGTTCAGGGAATTGAGAGACATGATATATACAAGACACCTGGCACAGAGACAGTGCCTGGTGGGCTATTGATGGACACAGGGCAGCTTGGCCGAGTGCAGTGGCTCACATCGTTATCCCCGCACTCTGGGAATCAAGGTGGGAGGATTGCTTGAGGCCAGGAGTTTGGGACCAGCCTGGGTAATGTAGCGAGATTTTTTTTTTTGTTTAAAAAATATTTTTTTATTTAAATAAAAATTATTTTCTCTCTATTTTTTTATTTAAAAAAAGAAAACAAATTATAAAACAAAAAAATGGGGCAGCTTAGCATAACACTTAAGGGCACAGCCTTAGACTGGGCCAGACCTGGAGAGTGTGTCCCTGCCCTGTGTCAGCTGAAGGCATTTGGGGCATCTTAGGGGGCCACTGGGAGGGGCAAATAAGCCCTTGGAGACAGGGCCTGGTGCTAAGTTCTTAGTAACTGGAGACGGCGGAAGAAGCAGTAGAATCAGTGTTGATAGATCAGTTGAATTAGTATTGGCAGATACTGTCGAGTTGCCTGCCAGTATGGGTAGATCTTCCTGATTAGATTTTATGCAGTGACAAAGGTGGTGAGTTATGCTTATTGTATGATGTGATTATGTTGTTTTTTTGTGAAGTACAAAATGATTTTTCATTGGTTATGAATGTATTTGCATGTAAAGGCATAAAAGTGGACCGGAAGAAGACGCAGGACGCTTGTGAGGTGCTTGTGAGGAGAAGCAGAGTGGGAGTGGGCTGTCAGCAGAGGTCACAGGATCTTCACTTTTATCCTGTTATGTTCTTTTATTAAAAAGAAAAGTCTTGAAGCCAACGTGACATTATTAGCCTAACAACATGACATTAATTAGTGTGGTCTCATGGTTGTCACCTCTGATGAATGGGAATGCAGGCCTTTGGTTTTTATTCTGCCTTTCTCTCTGTATTTTTAATTTGCAAAAGAAAAATAGAAAAAATGACATAGAAGTGAGCCAAGCCAAGAGGTGTGAGAAAGACAGGGACCAGGTACACAGGCAAAGGGACACACAAAAAAGGCAAAAAGATGCTTTCATTCTTAGTCCTCAGGCATCCTGTAGCTCCTTGCAGTAAGATGTGACAGGGCTAAGGGACACCAGAAAAGGTGTCCCTCCTGTCTCTGAAGGCAAGCACCTCTTGAGCGCATTACATCTTCTTCCCGGCCACTTTTTTGCCTTTGCGTGCAAATGCTTTCATAAGTGATGAACATCATTTTGTACTTTTCAGAATGTGAAGAGACACGAGAAAAGGTAGGTGCCACATTCGGAGCACTGCAGTTTCTGCAGCCTGTTAGAGTTCAAAGCCTGATCCCAGAGAGGTGAGTGGTGAGTGGGAGTAAGAAGGGGGAGACAGAACAGAAACAAATATTCTTTCAAGGTGTGCAAAGGAAGGAGAAAAATGGTGGTGTATTAGACAGAGAAGAAGCAGTTTGAAGTGCCTGGAGAGTAGCATCTATGTTCTCCAGAGCACTGGTCCATGGAGGTGTTCCATGGGGAATTCTGGGAGCTCAGTAATGCCAGGAACAGGTTAGCCTGTTGAACTGTGTTTAATTCTGTGTATCCAAACCTAATTGACCTACTGATAACTTATCCTGGGAATCCCTAGACAAGAATATATGATGTGTGGGAAGAGAATACATTCTTTTCGTGTGTAGGTTTGCAGATCGTGAAGAACCCTGTACACCATAGTAATGGTTTTTTACTTCTGCGGACAGTGTGGACCTCTTGAAGTATTCAAAGCAGAGAGTGAGATAGACAGTGCTAAGTTTGAGAACCATCCCCGTGGTGAAAGTAGATGTGCCGCAGTTGCACCGGCAGAGAAGGATCTTTGGTGAGAGACTTTTCTGTTGAAAGGGGATGTTATACCTGTTAAGCTAGTTTCTCTTGCTCTTTAAAAAGCATGGTAGCGGCCGGGTGTGGTGGCTCACACCTGAAATCCTAGCACTTTGGGAGGCTGAGGGGGATGGGTCACCTGAGGTCAGGAGTTCAAGACCAGCCTGGTCAACATGGTGACACCCCATCTCTACTAAAAATACAAAAAGTAGCCGGGTGTGGTGGTGCATGCCTGTAGTCCCAGCTACTTGGGAGGCTGAGGCAGGAGAATCACTTGAATCCAGGAGGCAGATGCTGCAGTGAGCTGAGATCGTGCCACTGCACTCTAGCCTGGGCAACACACACACAAAAAAAAGCATGGTCGGACTTTAAACCTACCCCTCAATATCCTCCAGAGATGGCCATAAGAACACTTGTCTTCAGCCTGAGCAACATGGTGAAACCCAGTCTCTACCAAAAATACAAAAAGTTAGCCAGGTGTGCTGGCACACACCTCTGGTCCTAGCTACCCAGGAAGCTGAGGCAGGAGGATCGCTTGAGCAGGGGAGGTGGGGGTTGCAGTGAGCTGAGATTGTACCACTGCACTTCAGCCTGGGCAACACAGTGAGCCCTTATCTCAGAAAAAAAAAAAAAAAAAAAAAAAAAAAAAAGAATGCTTGTGTTAATCCTGAATCTCTTATTTACATGACAATTTAGTCTTTTTCTCTTTTTTTCTCCCGTGAGTCTTGGCTGTAAACTTTAATGTTGGTGGGGAAGTTTCACAGCTCACTGCGAGGAGCCACATGATGCCTTGGTACTCAGACTGAAAGTGTTTTTGCCTTTATTTGACCTTTAAAATTGTTATGATCTAATTTAGGAAAGTCCTGTAGAATGTGTCTAGGAATTGATTTATTCTTCACACTGTATACCATTTCTTTGCACCTAGATATGGTCATGGCCAGGGTGAACAGGGTAGAACAATCTGTTTTCTCTTATCCTCATTTAAGAAAAATGCCAAAAAACTTGTTACTGCATGTTCTTGTTATTAGGGAGATTTTAAACAAGAAATGACAGAAATTATCTAAACTTAAGTGAATACTCGCAAGACCCAATATTATTAATTTCCTATCTTTTGAAGAGATGGCCAGGAAAGTCCCCTTGTACCAACTAGAAAAACATTTAGCTTCTAGGAAAATTATGAAACAAAGGAGTGATTGAAATTGCAAGTTATTCTAATTGCCGTTTCCCAGGGTGTTTGTCCAGTTTATCAAAGCACTTCTTATTCTGGGCTTTGGTTTGGGTTCTCTTCTTACTGTCATTAAGGGGAAACAAAGTCCTCAATTCTCTTGGCTAGTGAAGAGTTTAGATTTTGTTCTCAAGTTCAGTGCAGACCTTGGGTCGAGCCTTTCAGAATGGCACTGGGGACCTGTGTTCATAGAGGACCTTAGATTTTTTGAGCCAGGGCTTGCATCCACACATACATTCATTCAACCAGCAAAACTTCCCTAGAATCTCAAGTGAGCCAGGCCTCTGTGCTAGGGACTGGTGACTCAGAGATTAAATTTGTATTTTACCGTGGCTCTCATGAGTCATACAGACAAGGGGTCAGATGATTCCAATGTAGGCCTCCTTGATAGAAGTAGGCACAGGAGGCCTTGTGGGTGGTGGAGAAGGCTTGGGTTTGAGGTTTTCCACTTTTGGCCAGTATGGAGCAACAGGGCTCAATACACCTTCTTGCCTGAAACAATTCAAAAATGGACAAAATGTAAAACACCGGACATTGGTCAGTGAAGGACAGTGATCTTTTGAGAGATGGGCAATGATGGTTTCTTCTTCTCTTGACACTTGATGTGGTATCTTTTCTAACACTACTTCTCCAGTTCTCTAGATAACAACGGGGCATTCAACGATTCAGTTGAATTCTGACACTATCTGCCTGGAGTTAGCATCAGATCCCACAAGTTAAAGGGCTCGGTGTCACAAGACTGACCCAATTTAAGACACTAGTTTTAAGTCCCAGGCTACCTGTACTTCTGACCAATGGCTATACATCAGGGGTTCCCATAACTCCCTCTTCGGGTTTGATAATTTTTCTAGAATGATTCATAGAACTCAGGAAAACACTTTACTTACATTTTTACTTACGTGGTTTTTTATAAAGGCTGCAACTCAGGAACAGCCACACAGGAGAGATCATAGGGCTAGCTGTGGGAGGTGGGGGTGGCATGGAGTTTCCGTGCCCTCTCTAGGTGCACCACCGTCTCAGCGCCTCCGTGCGTTTAATAACCGGAAACTCTCCAAATCCTGTTGTTCCGGGGTTTCTTTTTTCTTTTCTTTTTTTTTTTTTTGAGACGGAGTTTCGCTCTTGTCGTCCAGGCTGGAGTGCAGTGGCACGGTTTCGGCTCACTGCAATCTCTGCCTCCCGGGTTCAAGCGATTCTCCTGCCTCAGCCTCCCGAGTAGCTGGGATTACAGGCGCCTGCCACCACACCCAGCTAATTTTTGTATTTTTAATAGAGACGGGGTTTTACCATGTTGGCCAGGCTGGTCTCGAACTCCTGACCTCAGGCAATATGCCCGCCTCCACCTCCCAAAGTGCTGGGATTACAGGCATGAGCCACCGCACCGAGCTAATTTTTAAATTATTTGTAGAGACAGGGATCTTCTTCTGTTGCCTAGGCTGGTCTCGAACACCTAGGCTCAAGTGATCATCCTGCTTCAGCCTCCCAAAATGTTGGGATTATAGTTCAGCCTCCCAAAATGTTGGGATTACAGGGGTGAGCCACCGCACGCAGCCCAGTTTCAGGTTGAATGGGGCCTGTTGATTATTGAATTTGG